ATGTGATGAAACAGGGCTCATGGCGATGACTTGTCGTCATGACCACCCGCTTCGATATATCAACATGTTCAAAGCGGAGAGAAGTCAGTATCATTTTTTTTTGGAATCTTACCCGTGATAGCAGACTGACATACTGCTGGTATGTTTGATTTGTATAATTGACATTAGACTCTATTATAGCTATACCTTGATCAAGTGGATTTTGGATATCACAAATGATCTTGGTCTGGTTCCACAGCGGATCTGCTTTCTGTATGACATAGGATGTACAATGGAGAATGGGATTATAAAGGTTAGCACAACGGATTGAATGATTGAATCCATGATGGTATTGAATGCTGATATATTAGACTAGCGCAAAATGTTTGATGAAGAACGGCAGATTGGAAGACTAAAGTTCGGAACAAGTGTCTTTCACGCATACGTTCATCGCTGGGCTTGCCAGCTCCTCTGGAATCCCAGGCTCAACATAGGTTTTGGCCTTTCCGATGGCGAGGGTTGTGAACGAAACTGGATGGATCTGACTCCACTTGTGGCACCTCTACGTTATTCAACGTCTCAACATCGAGTCAATGCTATCAGCATGAAGGCAGACCACTGCAACATCCATCGCCGTCATCATGCAGGTGCGTCTTCCTATGCCTTCCAATTCCTCATTCAAAATACTTAAAGTGGGATCTCAGCGCGCAATCTTGTACGCAGAAAGAAAGAGGTATGAGCAAGACTTCAAGACGCTCAGGTGACACTCCGAACCCTTGAGACCCCAGCTCAAGGGTACCCTGGCCATGATGCTTGATTCTTTGAGAACTTGTGGAACACAAGAAAAGCTCATCAGCTAGATGCAATGAACGAGCAGAAAAGTCGGAAACAAGAAATGATTGCTCTGTTGCTCGGGTTAGAGGAGGAGCTCATAGGGGCTCGGTGAGTTAAGACGCGCTTTGTATCAATCCCCTTGTATATATTGATGTTTCACTCTGTTTCTTAACCTCAGTGAACGACTCAGGGCGATACAAGCAACCCGAAGGAGAGCCCGAACATACGCTGACAACAATGACCTCATGGCCCTACCTGCTACTGTTGCAGATGTAGAAGAGCAAATTGAGGGTGTGGCAACAGCCCTAGGAGGTCCTGCATTTAGAGCTTTGGCTGGAGCTACTGGTAACTCTCATATACTTTGAATGAAAATGAACCGTGCTAACAAACGGTGCTTTTTGACTTTCAAAAACAGACAGCAAAACTAATGCCCTTATAGCCATATCTATTGCACGAAGCAACCTTTATGAGGCCAAAGTAGGCCTCATCGAATCCAGGCTACGTCGTCATCATAACACTGGTAAGTGTTGTAATATATATAGTGACAGATATATTTATTATATATCCATTATTTGTTTGATAGGGCAGCGAAATGCGCAATACAATGCGCGTCAACTCAGCAAGAAGACGGCTAACCTACGTGTGAAGTATCAAACCTATGAGCGCAAAGTTCTAAAGTACCATACCGATTTTCCAAGGGCAACACGCGTTCAACTCCCTGAGCTGGGATTCGTTATGCAGATGTCATTAGAGGATGCTTTCTGGGATAGGGGTGAGGTGAATG